ACCCAGACCCAGCCTCGGACTGGCTACGAGACGCCCGGGCCAGGTCCCTGTGTTCTTCCGTGCTGCCCCACTGCGGGTATGCCTGTAGTTCCGTTGATGCCACTTGTGCGGTGTCTGGGAGCCTTGCTTGAGCTACCCAGCCCGTTTCGATGGCTCCTTCGAACCGTCAGGCTCGGCTATGCGATTCAGTCGCCCGGCGTCCCCCCAAGTGCAGTGGCATTCGCTTCACAACAATGAAGGCGGCCGATGGTCCTGTCTTGCGGGCGGAGGTCGCAGTCCTACTGGCGAAGGATGCGATAGAACCGGTCCCTCCAGCCAATATGAAGACGGGGTTTACAGCTCCTGCTTCATTGTACCCAAGAAAGGCGGTGGGTTAAGACCAATCTTGGACCTGCGTGTCTGGAACCAGGACCTTCACCGGTTACCGTTCAAGTCGGGTGCATCCGTCCCCGAGATTGGTTTGCAGTGGTCGACCAGAAGGACGCGTACTTTGTGTCGACCCTTCCGCACCACAGACCACTGCTGTGGTTCGCGTCCGAAGGACGAGCATATCAGTACGAGGTCCTGCCCTCCGGGCTGTCCCTGTTGCCCTGTGTCTTCACGTAAGTTGCGGAGGTACCCCTTGTTCCCCTGAGGGAACAGAGCATTCGCATTCTCAACTACCTCGACGAAGCAGTCTCAGGATCAGTTGTGCGAACACAGGAATTTGGTGCTCTCACACCTCAGCCTGTTGGGCCTTCGGGTCAACTGGGAAAAGAGCAAACTCTCCCCGACGCAGAGGACCTCTTTTCTCGGTATGGAGTTGGACTCGGTCGAACAGACAGCACGCCTCACGCAGGAACTTGCTCAGTCAGTGTTGAACTGCTTGAATACATTCAAGAGCAGGATGGCGGTCCCACTGAAACAGTTTCAGAGGCTCCTGGGGCATATGGCAGCTACGGCGGCAGTCACGCCGCTGGGGCTGCTCCATATGAGACCGCTGCAGCACTGGCTTCATGGCCTAGTCCCGAGGTGGGCGTTGCAACGCAGCACTTTCCGGGTCCAAGTACACCGGCCTGCCGCCAAACCTTCAACCCGTGGTCAGATCTTGCGTTTCTCCGGGCAGGGAGTGCCCCTAGAGCAGGTCTCTAGGCATGGTGGTCTCCGACAAGGTGGTCTGCGCTCCCGACGCATGTCGCAACTCACCTGCCACCTCCTCCTCTGGAGTCAGAAGCATCTGAGGTCGCTTCGTGCTGTTCACATACCTGGGCTGCTCAACCGGGCAGCCGACGAGCTGTCCCGAGCTGCGCTCCC